TCAGCAATGCTTCTCAAACTTTCAATATTTGCGTTCCAATTTTCCATCCTAATTTTCATCGCCCCCATACAACAACGAAAATGTAATAATAACGTACTTCGACGCTAAATTTAAAAAACGATTATAGACCGTACAAGTTATCAAGATAAGTATTAAATTTTGCATATGTTGGCTTTTAAGTAATCGATATTTTAAGTAAGCCATTTTTCAATTCCTACTATTAGCTCTCACAATCTATATATATATATATATATATATTTTACTTATCTTGGTGGAATTTTCAATCGTTAATAAAATACATTTTAAAGCGCTCAATTGAGCTGAAACTTTATATACATGATTATTTTGGACGACAATACAATAATTTAATTATAAATAATAAAAATTAATTGATTAAAACTAATTATTCAAAAAATTACAAATACAGTCACGTTGGCATCATTTTTGGTGACTTAGTAACCCTTTTGGCGACTTGTGTCAAAACTTGAAAAAGTTTTTTTTCTCACATTTTAAAGCGCTCATTTGAGCTGAAATTTTATATACACAATTGTTTTGGATGACAATACGATAATTGAATTATAATTAAAATTATTTAACTGAAACTAATTATTCAAGGAATTACAGATACAGCCATGCTGGCTTCATTTTTACCGGTTTCTGACGCCATCTTAGATTCGTCTCTATTGTTGTAACAATGTAACTGTTAAAACAAAGACAAAAGTTGGCGACGAAAACCTGTTTTTCAGCCAAACTAGCCAAACCGAGTTTGCATTGTTACAACAATGCAGACAAATCATGCTCTTTTCAATTCCTACTATTAGTGCACTCTCTCCCTATATATATCTTATTCAAAATTTCAATCGCGCGTTAATAAAATACTTACAATTCATCCATTCAAAGTAGGAATTAACTTAAAAAGATTTTTATATTACTTGTTAAGTAACAAGATAAGTATTGTGTTACTTTTTTCCCCCTAATTTTTAGATTGGAACCGATTGCGAAATAATTTTTAATTAAAGAAGGTACCAATGTTGCAAAGTACATTGATAGAGAAAGGGCTCTCAACTGCCGAAGAAGAAATCGGAGCAATCACGTCAAGCGGCGAAATCAAAATGCAGTTTAGTAATATATCACTCTTTGATGTTAATTTTTTTTTATTACGTCAGAATGTATTTTGTTTGTTTACTTTCATTAAATTAATAATTTTTTTTATATAATCTTTTGTTTTCGATTTTTGAATAAGCTCGCGTCCCCCCTCGTAGGGTTATCACGCCCCCCTAGTGGGGCGCGTCCCACAGTTTGAGAAACGCTGCACTAATGTATGTCATAACCAAGGTTTCACACATAAAACACCTGTAAAGTTTGTAAATGAATTGTTTCTGTATTCCTCAAATGTTCTCTTCAGCTGTATTCGTCTTCATTTTTTTACTACGGTGTTTCGAAACATGAGAGGGAATAATGAATAACTGTATTATTCCGACATTTTAACCTCTCATGACAATTTCCACATGGCCATTCTCTATTTAACATTAGATTCACCAAAACTTCCGAATAACATTTGCAAACTTGAAAGCAATAACGAATTACGCTTACAAGACACCCCGACGACATAAGAACAGAGCCCCCTTCTCCTCTCCCCTATATTTTGAAATCTCCCCTCAATTCTGTTTTATTTAAAATTTTCCATTATTTACAATCCAGAAAACGTTAGGCACTAAAATCTACAATAAGATTAAATAACATTCCGAATTGGAATTCCTTTTCAAAATCTTAAGATCTGCATTTCAAAAGGAAGCATTTCAAAAAGGATTGTAAAAGGAATATTCACGCGTCGCTTATGAATTCGTCTTCAGCAAGACTTGTTAAATCGTTCAGCTGCGAATGTCGTCCGAAGCAGCGAAAAATGACTTTTTAATAGGCAGAGGGTGTTGAAAAGTTTCCAAACGTCTGCTATCGGGGAAACTGCACTCTCGGGTTTTGATAAATTAAAGTGAATTCCCCTCCCACCCACCTTTTGAAATTAATGTTCTTTGTACCTTTTCTGGAAGTGAGGGCTTAACCAATGGAATGGGAATGAGGGAGAGGGTGTTTGACACAAACTATGTTGTTCCCTTATTGATTAACTATTACGCTGCCACTTTTGACAATTATTGTCATAGAAAAGAAGAAAGCTGTTTTTGAGCTGTCAGCGCGAAAATTAATGTTCCAAAACAGTCATTAGTAATGTTTCCACCAGTTCTGTTCACTATACGATTGATTGTTAACGTCACCTTTAGCTTCAACACGAGTGTTACTGGTAATGGACCTCGTAATTTGAATCTCGGTCAGGTGACGAGGACGACACTTGAGCTGATACTCTACTCTCCAAATTTCCATACCCCCGCCACAAATTTGATTTGATTTTAATTTAATTTATGTCGCACTGTAAAGCAACACGAGGGACACTGGAAATGGATCTTTTAATTTTAAACCACGAATAAGTGATGAAGACGATACCTGAGCTGGCACTTACTCTACTAACTTCCATACCACACCAACGGGAAACCGTTGAGACTCGACAGATTGAGGACCTTTAGTGGTGAATAAGTCCGCGAATCGACAATGCTGGCTACGAGCTCGTGGCCATGACCTTTAGGCTACCGAAGCCTTCCCACAACACACCAAAAATAAAACTTTGTTCCCCTTTGAATATAACACGCAGCATACCGGCTGTACCACGAGACTAGAATCCCCCGGGGCTTTTACCTGCTGGGCGTGTCTCTTAAACAAACCCCCGACAATACTTTTTAAGTTTGTCCAGGATAAAAGAAGCCCAGATGGTCATTGTATTCTTTAAAAAGAGACCGGGTAGTTTTCGCTCATGCCTGGAGGATAAGATGTTGAGCGGATTCTGGAAACAGTTTTGATGTGACCACATCACTTCCTTCTCCAATACCTAGATGATTTTAATCACAATGATTTATAGAAGGAACACTCCTGTTGAGCAATTTCTATTATTGTGTTCCTTCACACATGTGTGTATTTTGGGATAAAAGTAGGTTCTTATTTCAAAAATACTTGCTTTTTTCCACAACAATAAAGGGAAAAGTTACTTATTGATAATTAAATCAGAAAAACAGAAATATTGGTAGTAAAAAAATTAATCAAACTTTCCCTACTTTTCCTGAAGACAAATTTTTTATATGTTTTTGCAGAATTAATTTCCGGTTTTCAAAAAAATAAATTTTATCAAACTGTTTCTAGTCTTTAGGTTGCATAATTATTTTACCTCTTTTCCTCAAAGTCCCTTTTTTTCTGCTAAACGACCAAAACAATGAAACTAATTTCTGGAACTTTTTTTATGGGGATCAAAATATCTGCTTTCACTTAACACTCTCTCACAAGCACAATGCTTTTTTCAATATATCTCTATCTCATATCTGAATACTATAAGACAGGAATCTTTATCCACAAATGATCGTTATCAACCATTAGAAGTCCATTTAGTTTTTCTGGGGATTGGATATCTTCGGGTAATACTTTTTTTTTTTTTTTAATGTGACTTATGTTACTAGATTATTAGGCGCAATCAAATAATTTATTTTAGTGGCAAAGTTAAGTTTGTGTTAAAATAAAATACAGTTAAATAAGTTTCTGTGGAATTTTATATTATGATTTAATTTACAGAGTAAGCCTTTGTAATTCCCACTAATCTGCGATAATTTTATTGTATTTTCAATATTATAAATCATTATTAAAAAAATTTTATATTTTCGCTTCAAGCTTGCTTTCTTGGGACTCATATGGCCTCGGAGATTCATAGGCCCCCCCCATTTTGGCCAGGGAAAAACATAAGATTTCTTTACTAAACAACAACATTAACCCTTACAGGATGATTTAACTGCTTAGAAGTAAAATAAACAAAAATCATAAATAAGATATATAGCAACATCTTAAAAAGTCTCACTACCACGGAATCAGTTCACCGATAGAACTATTTGTCGTTATCAGGTATTTGTTTTCATTCGTTGAAATATACTTTATTATTGCACAAAATTATATTTACGGAATAACATAAAACGCGTGAAAACACAAATACACAGGATGTGGTCCCGAAGTCATGGTACAAACTTTAAGGGTATGTACAGAACATTGTAGCATCATTTATTGTATAGAAATGTATGGGTGCAAGTGACGTGGTGAGAGGCAAACGCAAAAATAAGAGACGAAAGGAAAGACAAAGTGTTTATTAAAGGCGTTGTTGACAAGTGTAATGTTTACAATATAATTGTTCATAATTCCTCAGCACATGAGCTATGAAGTCCCGCTGCAGCGCACACATTGTGATATCTTCCACTGGCAGTCGGAGAAGATAGTCTGCGGGATTCACAAAGCTAGTACTCATTGCAAATAGAAGAGGTGTAAGCGATTTTCCTTTAACACTCTACAAACGGTCTGATGACTCGCGTGATGAGCCAACAGCTCTTGCACTTTACTTGGGTCCATCAGCCACAACGTTCAAGATGGTTTCTTCCGGACTTTAACTGTGTACAGCTCTTCGTCAACTAGCATCATGTCTGGTGACGTGGAACGAACGTGTTGAGAGGCATAATGTTGAACGGCGACTAGGCATCTAACTGCTCTCTACCAGCAACGCAACCAACCAATGACTTCATTGCTCTTTTCTTTTATTTCCCCTGTTTCTGCCTCATCAAGTCACTTGCCCCTATACAATAAGTGATTTTTACAATGGCTTGTATCTACCCTTAAAGTTTGAACCATGAATTCGGGACCACCCTGCATATAAGCTACGCAATAAACTAAAAAACAATACTGCCCACGAATGTTTTATCACTAGCACCAATTGATTTGACAATTCTTTTTGAGTCTTTTTGGGCGTTAGGGAAGAAGAATGAGGGTAAATTTTTACGATGCATGCGCACACCGTCACGGATGCGTCTAGAAATATGCAGAACGGGACAGATCATTCCCACTCAGAAAAATATTTCTCTTCACTTCCCTGAAGAAGGGGGCACCCGGATTTGAACCGTGGACCTCTCGATCAGCAATCGAATGCTCTGCCACTGAGCTCCTCTTGTGTTTCCCCAAAACCAGGCCGAGTTTCGAGTTGCTGGTGCCCTGCTTCTATTTTATTTTTGTTTTAATTATTTTAAAATGACCATAACTCGGGGGCTCTTCAAGCGGATGCCTTAATTTTTTTTCAGGAACGATTCTTCCCGCCGAGACATTCAATGTGAGGTCTCAGGAGTCACATTCGGTTTAACTCATCTCCAGGTACAGTCCGCCGAACCCCCATGTTATTGGTCCTATTGACCCTGTGCGGGGGTGTTTAAATTTATTTAAATCGAGATTATCTCGGGTTTGGCTGGTCCGATTGAGAATGAAGGTTAGTATCGTTCAACTCTGCTCGTGAACTACTTTCGTCCTTGGCCCAGCTTGCCCTGCTCGAGATTTTTAGAAATATTTTAATCTTGTTACGCCAAAGAAGTACAACTTCTTAAGTGCGTACATAAGTACACACACACACACTTTTTTTTAAACATTTTTATAAAAATTTCAGTACGTTCTATTTTGATATTCTTTATAAAAATGTACATAGGATATAATTACATGCGATAATCTCTAATTTTAAAATGGGTGGGGAATGTTTACATTAGTCGTGAAAGGGCGCTTTTGGATTCAAGAGCACGCATTTACACATGTGAACTACTTTCCCATACAACACATTTAAAATTCTGTTATTCTTAACAGCGTTGAAATCGACTTGCCTTTAAATACAGAAATTTGTTGACATTTTAGTGCTATCACACTTACAACTGCAAAATCTTAATAAGATATTAAATATTGTAATAAAAAACGTGTTCGTGTATCAGTGTGAACACGGGGTAGAAGTTAACTTCTTTGGCTTATATGTATTGAATTGTATCATTAAATTATCAAAGGCTTGTGGTTAATTTAGAATTCTTCATGAGCGAGTCAATAACGGTAAAAATCGCTGTAATTGGAAAGAGTAGCATCTACACTTCCTTCAACATATGTTACTTGATGTTCTGGTTCCTGAACTAGTTCGGACTCAACAACATTTCTTCAACGACGTCTGTACTCTCGCATACGCTCAGCTGATGTTTTTCTACCTATAGTATTGATATCTTGCCAAGGTAATCTGGCAAATTCAAGAAAACTATTTAAATTGTCCTCAGTGATATATATATATATATATATATATATATATATATATATATATATATATATATATATATATATATATATGTCAGGCCCCAGGCCTGCTGGTAAAATGAGGAAGGCATCCTTCTATATAATAACTTCTTTATTTCGCTTCCATCACATAAAATCCAACATGGCGACCCTTTGGCGCGCAACCGAGTAGAACATTAACAATACTTCGAGCAAGAGTCACCAGCTAAGCCTTTTCCGAGTATGCGTTCTTCGTCAGCGCTCGTTCCACTTTTAAATAGGCTTATTTACTCACAAATCCTTACACGATGGTAAAGAGTTCGCTCTATATATATTTATTTATTTATTACTTAATTTTGAACCTAAACTTTTCAAACCTGACATATATATATACACTCACTCACGCGTAACGAAAAGTTTTCCCTACCGTGCCAAAAGCAGTAAACTCCAAAAACACATATAATTCTTTTTAATTACTACCAGGTAGCACTTTACCAAATTCAAATATATATATATCAATAAAATTGAAAAATATTTTAATTTGAAAAATTAGATTTTTTTTAAATGCCTAAGACCGTGTATGGCAAGGGTGACTAACTCAAAGGCTACCTTGGACCAAACAAACAAAGTGTAACTTTCGCTCTCTTGGCCGCAAAAAAACTCAATATTCATAGAAATGTAGATTTATTTTGAAAAATGCATTATATATAATAAACAAATATAGAAAAACAAGAAAAATTTCATGTTGACATGCTGACACTTGGCATCTCTTATCTGCTACTATCGTTCCTATTTCGGGAGAAATTCTTTTATTTTATTATATATTATTGTGTGCCAATGTATTGGCCAAGCCGCAAAAATTTTCGTTCCTGGCCGCGAGTTTGACGCCCATGGTGTATTGCCTTAAATAACCGTAGGCTACCTTCTCCTGATTTAGAATATCCATTCAACTTCAAAACTGCTTTTAAAGGACATTTTAAGAACGTTAAGAATAAAAATAAAATCTATTTAAAGCAGTGCTTCTCAAACTTTTGATCAATGCCCCAATTTTGAATCATAATTTCCACCGCGCACCCCTTCCTGTATATTAACAATATACTTAATGCAATAAAAATGTACTTTGACGCTAAAGCTACAATACGACTTTAATTATAAACCATACAAATTATAAAGATAAGTATTAAATTTTGTTTATGACAAGCCCATCACTAGTAATTGGTAAACTTGTTTTTATCTTAGTATTGATAAATAGTTATCAAAAACAATGTGCAGTACTGATACATTTATAAGTCAGCACAAATGTGTATTTTATTTTTATGTCAGAATGTATTTTGTTTTGCTTCCTTTCAGTAAATTAATACTTATTTTAAATCTTTTATTTTCGTCTTTCCAATATGCCCGTGCCCCCGTGTAAAGATATCACTTCTGTCTAAGGGGGAACGCCCCACAATTTGAGAAACGCTGGTTTTAAGTCTTTTCTACTTTCTAATCCACCTTAACTTTTGTAAACGATTTTACTATCTATATCCATATCAATCCATTTTATTTCCGTGAAATCTTTTTTTATTTAAATCGTATTTCGTTGATTTAAGTAAGCAAATTTGAAGATACAGTGGAGGGATTACTCGTCATTTTGTTTTAACCTCTTCCTCAGCTAACTTACCGTTTTAACAAGAGTGCATAATTACCAACAACCGAACCTATCTCCAAAACAAGGCTTATCGGTCCACCACTTTTTTTTTTTGTCTTGTTTTTGAATACTAGTTCCCTTCCGTTGGTCTTAATGCTTTGCCATTTTCCATCGTTTCTTGAATAATGGATTCGGGGGAAATAAGCCAACGCTGTCATTTACGACCTCATCTCTGTTTACGAGTCCGCTGAGGACTAGATAATGCTTTGTATAATTCAGATGACGTAAGGATTTTGGCACAGGTTCCAAATTCGGGGGAGTGTAGCTACTTTAACACAGTTTCTACAACCGATTTATCTCTATTTAACTGAGTAACTATAGATTGTGCTTTTTCTATTGTAGCTGTTAGTATGTTAGCTACAAGTTTTGGATTAAAAAGTCTTTTTTTGGAATGACAAGATTATAAAAGATTTTTTTTTATCGATTTTTGATTATATATTGTAATGAATTCAACATAATAATATATAAAAAGAAAACAACAATTGGAAATATAGTTCTGCTTTATTTCGGAAAGATTTCCCATAAATTGTTATAACGTTAACGAAATGTATCAAATAAAATACTCTGATAATCTGATTGAAACCTAAATTCTACATTGACTATTCAACTTAATGTTATTAAACTATCGTTCTTACTACATGAAGGTTTTCCTACAATGAAATAAATCACATTTATAAATTTATTGTAAAAATCAAATTCTTTAGTTTTTTTTAATTACAATCTGTACTTTTTAAGAATAAATAAAAGTACACTATCTCTCATCAATCAAATATATGAAAGAAGAGATTGTTATACATTGAGTAAATTGTTATCCAAATAGTTTATCATCTTGAAATTAAAACAGTGTTTCTCAAACTGTGGGGCGCGCCCCCCTAGGGGGCGTGATAACCCTACGAGAGAGCACGAGTATATTGAAAAGTCGAAAACAAAAGATTATTTAAACAAATTACTATCTTACTGAAAGTAAACAAATACATTCTGACATAATAAAAAAATAAAATACTCATTTACACTATAATACACTTATAAATGTATCAGTACTGCACAACCTATTTTATAATTAATTTAACAATACTTAGTTAAGGACAAGTTTAATAATTACCAGTGACCCCCCGAATTTGTCACATATAAAATTATATGCCAACAGTATCATTTATCTGGAAAATTTGTACTGTTTATATAATTAGTCCCTTAAATGCCAATTAAAAATTACGCGATTAGTTTTCCAATGCCATCGTTTAGCACGTAGATAAGCGTATGTGATGTAAAAAGGGAATAAATAATCAAATCCTCTGAAACATGTAAACACTTCGCAAACACTGTCAAAATCATTTTATTACTTTCCAATGCCTTCGGAATAATTTTATGGATCGCTGTGCAAAGAAAAGATCATACTTCGGAAAGACTTATATATACGTCCAGGGCAATTAACGCATTGGGTAAGCGAGATGTTTATACACGCCACTAGCACTTAAGTGGTTTAAGTCGTTTTGTAGCTTTGGCGTCAAAATATAGTATTATTGAATTTAATAGCATCGTTATTGTATGGAGGAGAGCTGCAGATGCAAATTATTATTGAAAATTGGGTCGCAAACATTGAAAGTTTGAGAAGCACTGAATTAAAAGGAATTGAACTTACTATTCAGTATATATATGAGATCGGGTATTATGGAATTCCAAGGGTTTGGCTCTGTTAGTAGCTGTTAATGCGTGAAAAACCTTGAAATACTGAAGAAAGACTCCCATGATGCATTGCAGTGAGAGTTGACCACTTTTTTTGCCATACCACTCTCTACAGAACAAAGTGTGTCTTACTATTTTGAAGAAGTTTTGCGGTTAAGTTTTCAAACTTTTTAATCTACTAGTACACGTGTGACTTGAACTTTAAAGTTAAGCATTGTAGCGTTGTGAATGGGGTAGCGTGATGATGACCTCACGGCAAATTGTAGAAATAAAACCAAATTTTATTTGCTCAACTAAATAATTATTAATAATGCGACATGGAAATGTCTCTTTGCGCCAAGGTGGTGTGATTGTCTCTATCAAACGTTGGATTCATTCTTCCACACATCTCTCCATTGTCCGAAGGGCGCTTCCCAATAGTTCTCTGTAGTTCCGCTAGGTAGCTTCCACAATGCCACCGATGTTCATCCTCTTTTTTTCCTCTTAATCCAGAAAAATCAACTTTCGTC